ACCTTAATTGGACTTGCCGCAAATAAATTGGATTTGGCCTTCATTGGATAGGGTGAATGGGTAAGTGTGATCTGAATTTATCATTTAAATTGGTTCTACTTTCCCGTGTTGAGTGGAGGAAAAGTTACAAATAGAATTGATCTTCTTTTACATTGTTATTTTTATTTAATTAGTTATACCCAAGTCATTTGAATGATGTCATCATTGAATATAAGAAATTATGTAGCATTAGAAATATTGGAGATTTTGGTGGATTCTTAAATTAAAGAAGTCGAATATCTTGAATTACTTTTAGGAAAAATAACTTCATGATGTTTTACATGTTCACTAGTCTCATAATAGAAATCCTCAATTTATAATTTCATAAACAAATAGGGAAAACATATATTGAAGGGTTTTAAAAAAGAAATGCCTTAGCCAATGAGGATGTTTTCAGATTATGTTGGTATTATAGGAGGAAATGAGGTATGATAATTGATTCCGGTCCTCAAGAATATGTATAGTTTATTCTTTTCTCTAGTTTGCTCAATTATCTTTTTCATAATGTGGTCTTGAAATACAGTGATTGGTATAAAAGTTGACTTTATTATTATGATTTTTGATAATTTTATGGATTGACAAATGATTGGAGGTAAGACGAGGAATATGCAATACATTATTAATGATAAAAATTAAAAAAATTGAGATAGTTTTGCATCATGCAACATTTGTTAATGAACCATCAACCACCTTTATTTTTCTATTATTGGGGCTCAATTTGTAGATTTGGAAGATATTGACAATATTTGTTACGGGGATAGTGGGACCTAAATATCAAATCCAGGTTTGGGAAGGGAGTACTTGAGCACTAGAAATATAAACGTTCAAAATCGTGCCACTTTAAGCAAAAGGGCATGTTCCAAATGTTTTTTCAAAGAATTTAAAAGTCTTTACTTTATGAATCTTTTCGGAGTTGAGTTCATTTGTTTCCACAAGGTAAGCCTACCCCTTTTTTTCCTTTGTTTTTATCAGTTTCGAGGTATTTTATGAAATTTCAAGCATGTGCCTTTTATGTTCCATTTTTTCTTGCTATAGTTGCATGATAGGTTGCTTTTGATGGCATATTTTTGTCATTCTTTGGGAGAGGAATCTGTGGTTGCATGTCCCTTATCTTAAGATTATCTGGTCAAGATATCAGATGTTTTGGAGAACGAATTATTGAATATCATTGTTTTCTTTTCCTCTTTAACTCGCACAATATAGAACCCTTTTTAGAGAATATACGCTTTACTTGAACTTGGATTCAAATATGTACAAAGTCATTATTTAATCCTAAAGGAAACTCATATAATCTTTTCCTTTTTCATAAATTTTTTGAGAATTATCCCATCCTTAGAGCACATCCTTTTGAGATCTTATTGATAATGTAAATCAAGCCAATAAACTCTCATGACATCAAAACATTAAACAACAAGATCACCTTGGTTGATGGTGGGGAGTTTCATTTTGTTCTCGTAGATGGGTGGAGCATTCTTGATTTTTGAGTAGATGTGTTTGATACATCTCAATCTTCTTTTGCGATTGATAGAAATATAAATCATCTATTGATTTTCGGCATCATCTTATTCCACAAACATATCATACTCATGGATCATATTTCTTCTTTCGACCCCAAAGATATATCCACGAGATGTTGGATATTTCCCTTTTCCTCCATGGGGTTTGTTAGCCACCATCGTAAGGACATTTTGGTTTTATTAGCCTGATGGCAAATTTGTCTTTTATTGTTATTATTGTTGGGTATAAATAGGGCTTAATAGTTTAGGGTTAGGACTATGCATGAGATTGTGTTTGAAGTTTTAGGGTTGGGGTTTGGGAGAGATTCCTACCTCTCGATTGTAGGACTTGGGAGAAATCGCCTACCTCTCGAATTGCAGTCGCTTACTTATGTGTTCATTAGATTTTTTAGTGTTGTTTTGCTTTGATTTGATGTTATTGAATAATATCATTTGTTTGCGCTAATTTCTATAAAGAAATCTACCGATTTCTATTTCGAATCGTACCAAAGTGATATTTGAAAATGTCGATCTAGGAAAAAAAAAAGAATCGCAACCTGTAAATAATTCTGCATCCAACCTACTTATCGGGCTCACGATAGAGACATGAATCTCCCATCTTTCTCCTTCTACATATTTCTATGCGATGGAGTCGCAATCAAGCCTGAGAAGCGACAATAGGTTTTGACAGAGACCCAAATCTTCTATCATTCGCCCCCATCGTGCCAGAGAGATGTGGCGAAGAAGGCAAATGCGGGATCGCGGCTTGCGGAGACCCGATATCTCCCTTTGCGATACAATCGTGGTTAGGGCTTGTTGAGAAGGCATCGTTGTGGTGTATAGAGGCCCGAGACTTAAATTTTACGTGACTTACAGAGGCCAGAAAATTTCTCCTTTTCTAACAACCGACGTGCAGTCAAATCAAATCAAACCGATTCGCGGCGCAAACACGATTCAAACTATCTTGAAACTATCAATGACATTTCAGCATACATGTGTGTCCGTCTTTTGTGATCGAAAACTTGCGAGAGAATGAAGGCATGAAAGAAAGTAGATTTGGGAACGAAATTGGAGGAAAGGTTCTTCTTCATAGGAGAGTTTTCCTCCATAAACGATAGATTTTCTTCCATGGAAAACTAATTTGGGAGCTTAGAGGAGATGATAAGGAAACTTATTGAGATGCAATGCAAGACTCTGCTGACAACTCGATTTTCAAACCCTAACCAAGAGTTGACTAGAGATTTTGAGGTTAGATCGAAAAGTGAAGGGATTGAATGTGAGGAATATAAGGAGGAAAGCATTCACCATCAATAATCCCCCCCCC